TTCCTATTCCACTCATACTGTTTCTGCCGCGGCGCGGGGGTGTAAAAACAAAAGTGCGCCCGGTTACCCCAATGCCCAAATGACTCTACAACGAGTTAGATGGATGAGTACCTACAACGTACCTACCTATACAATACATATAAGTAGGTACCTAAAGATGTGACCTAAAAATTATCATGTCCATATTCGTGTTGACTAAATTATCATATCATCCATCCATCACACACAGTCGAAGCACACAAATTCGCACAATTGACTTACGCAGGTGGACAAGCAGGTTAGCAGGTGGGTAATTAAGGGTTACTAAGCAAGCTAAGATGATTACCTATCATTCATTATCTTGATAACAAGATAACCCAATACACACATGCAACTTGGCCAATACCTACTCTGGCAATACAAAATCGATAGATAGATAGGACTTAGGTCTTAATAATTAATAGATGCCTCTACCTATTGATAGTATACAGGATGTTTGAAAAAATGGTTGTAGTGTAGATGTAGGTACCTAAGTAAGTAGTAATTCAAGAAAGGAAATTGATAAAATAAGATAAAGAAAAAATAATGCGTTCGCATAGGTATCTCATCTTATCAGTAGATGCGCAATCATATTTTTCACAAAGAAAAGTTCGTCATTAAGTACATAGATAAAACATCACGCTTGCAACCCTTTCGGTGTAAGCAATGTGATAGCTTTCGAATCTATCAACATCAGTAAATTGCCTCATCTGTCATGCGAAGGGTCAGCGAAACAATGTTGCATCTATTTTCGAGAATTTAGGCACTGCACTGTGACAAAGTGTATGTAGGCCTACGCTTACTCCAGTAGATAGGTAGGTAACTCTTGTTAGGTCATTGGATCATAGTAATCTTGACCTGCTCTTGACCCCTTGTAGTCCATAATGGCATCGTTTTATTAATAGGTATCTAGTTGGGAAGTGGGCATTTTCGCTCGCGGTCATCTTCAAAAGTTTCAATTACATAATTAACCGCCTCAGTCAGCTGACTGACTAACGCACTATAGAAAGAAATAAGTGTTATCTATAGGTAGGTAAATAAACACAATAAAACTGTTGACAGCATTCTTTTATTACCTACCCGAATGGAGGCGCAAACAGTCCCAACCGCCGCGGGTTATCTGCACACAAAGCACTGTCATCACCTGATACTGCCCACAATGTAAACATTGAACTGATTACATCAAAAATTATCCGCGCACGGAGAAAACGATAGAGCGAAACAGATATACGAATCTAGCGAAGTTGGAAAGAGACGGTAGTTGTGCTCTTGGCCCAAATTCGCGGGAACGCGGTCCGCGGCGCGAATAGGCGATCCAAAGAGAGTGGCGCGATGGCGTCCGACTCACATCGCTACTGACTTGTGACTATTTTACACAAGCAGCTAATCTGGCGCCCGAAAGAAAGACCCAATCGTCTATATACGTGTAGTACCTACATTATGTAGGTACTATGCGATGACGTCATTTCATTCAAGAGTTCAGTTTCGCGGAAACTTTCATTGATTAAGCAATCAAGCTACACCACACCGCTTTTCTTGCGCCGCATTCTATTGCACTGATCTAGCTGATCTGAGCGTCATCTTTGAAGTTCACCTCAGTCAGTCAGCTGATCGTGAATTTTGTATGGGAGGTCGAAAAGAAATATCGTTTTTCAACATCGGTCCCATATAGAAAATTGTTAAACCTTAGACAACGAGTCCAATTTAAAGCATTTCTTCCGAAACACGGTATAAGTACTTATTTGACTTCTTTTCTTCTCAAATCATTCAGGTCATCCAGATTAACGCTACAGCTTAATCGACTGCTGGATTTAAGTCTGGAATCCATCTAACCCATTTGAAATAACCATTTGCATACAGTTATTTAAGATACAAAACGCTCTACAAAACATACACTCTAGCAATAAGGCCGCCTACAATATGCCTACAATGTATCTGTTGTAGGCATTTTTGTTGTCCATTGGTTTTGTTAGTTTCCTTACACGCAGTTAAAAGGACCTGAAACAAAAAATAATGCACAATTTTAATATTTCTCCTGTTTCTGAAAAATAAAACTTAATGAACTTACTACGAAACAATAAAAATGTAAGACAGACAACCCGTGAACTCACGAGAACACACAACCACAACCTGACGATGAAGTTAATGTTAAAAAGTTCCATCGTCGCGCGATAGATGGCGTTACCGTCAGTACTTAAAAATAAAACTGTTCTTCATATCGCCACCGTCGCGCCGCCGCCGCGCAGCGAACCGAGCACGCCAGCCAGCCGCCAACCCACCAGAACGTGATGGCCTCATTCTGTATAACGTTATCGCATTCCAACGCGACTTTCGAATACCATTGCGCGCTGAATGCCAATCTGAAACAATGACGCTACATCAAACAGGTAATGTAAATGATACGGCGAACGCAGAGGTAAATGGAATAGACATCCTGTTTCGTGGTAATCAGTAGTAGCAAGCCCACAAACACAACTCACTGACCTTGCGGCAAAAAGAATGATTTTAATGCCGACTGCGGGCGTTTTTCTTGCTCAAGAATATTAACAAGTCCATTCTTAGAACTTCGTTACTACCGTTGACGATGCGATGGACGATGTTTTCCTTACTTAAAATTGTAGATAGGTATATTTAGGAATGTATTAGTAGAATTACCAACAGCTACGTCGCGTAGCTATCTGTACGGTTACGGTCAGGCATAAACCGTAGCATAACAAACTTATTAGGTATTCAAAAGCCTACCTATAGGCAAAATGTCTATTCACATGATGTCTACTTCGCTCAATGATTTAATTCGCAAATGTGCCTTTTCGCATTTTGTCTAAGTGTAAGCTAGCTTGTCAAGATTGGTTGCAAGATTGGCAATTAGTATGTTACCTACACACCGTAGCGTAAGCATACAGACTAGTAATTTTTCCCAGGCTTCGAAATATTTATCTTAACAGAGAATTCATCATTATCAATATTGGGGTGCAAGCATACAAGACTATTTATTTGCAGTAAATGTGGTCTTACATACCCCTCTCTTCCCGTGGGGGTCGTAAAAGGCGACCGAGGGATAAACCAACACCTAGATAAACCCAACCCAAACAGCCAGGGCCAACCGTATGGTGGCGGTTAATCCACCACAAAAGCATTCCCAAGGAGGGTTGACGTCTGGTAGGCGGCCGGTCGTAAAATTCAGCCAAATCCTTTTACAACACGATTTTGTGTTCAACAACCTATTATGTTTATAAACCCTCTACAGCCCACATAGTACCTATTTTATCAAATATCAAAACAATTCTATACCTATGTAAGTAAAGTGAATAAAATACTACCTAAATTACCTAAACTTAGACTTATCTATTATAAAGTGTAAAAAAATCAACTGCAAATATTTTAAGGGATGAACCAGCCTATGAAACTGAACAACTTTCCCCAAGGAACATAGGTCGAAATAAAAAAAAAAATTATGGACCTCCCATACAAATAGACTCGGTCAGCTGGTACATTTTGTATGGGAGGTCCAATTTTTTTTTTCATATTTAGACCTATGTTCCTTGGGGAAAGTTGTTCAGTTTCATGGGCTGGTTCACCCCTTAAAATATTTGCAGTTGATTTTTTTACATCGGTAGATAGGAAGAGGTCGTCAAGGGCGCCCCCATGACATGGTCCCCAATACGCTGGCAACGTTTCCTCTTTGGATGGCCAAATTTATGCGATGGCCGAGGAAGCTGCCAGCCCTCATTGCACCTACATCTACAACGAACAACGTCACACACAACGTGGATAATGTGACGTCATCTCCGACAAAACTAGGTCTCAAATTAGCTCCGAAGCGTATGAGGCTCGTTAGCTCAGCGGTAAGAGCGCCCATTCATTGTTGGTAAGAGGTGGTCGGGGGTTCAAATCCCTCACGAGCTGGTCTTACTTTTATTCTTTTTTCCCTTTAGGTTTGTTTTAGCTTTTGCATTATTGAATTACGAATGAAATTAAAAACGAATTAAGAAATAGGCAGTAGTGTTTTGCAATTAAAGCGCAAGGGCAAAAATTGGCAATTTCGCCCCTGCGATTTTTGCTTCTGTTCATAAATCATACAAGTAAGAAAACGCTGCTGGAGATATTTTACAAAAAACTAATGAATTCTAATACCTACAACGTCACGACGACGTCGATGATGTGATGTCATTCCCGACAAAACTAGATCTTAAATTCGCTCCGCAGTCCCTGAGGCTCGTTAGCTCAGCGGTAAGAGCGCCCATTCATTAAAAATAAGAGGTGGTCGGGGGTTCAAATCCCTCACGAGCTGGTCTTACTTTTATTCTTTTTTCCCTTTGTTTATTTTAGATTTTAAATTATTGAATTACGAATGAAATTAAAAACGAATTAAGAAATAGGCAGTAGTGTTTTGCAATTAAAGCGCAAGGGCAAAAATTGGCAATTTCGCCCTTGCGATTTTTGCTTCTGTTCATAAATCATACAAGTAAGAAAACGCTGCTGGAGATTTTTACAAAAAACAGACGAATTCAGATACCTACAACGTCACGACGACGTCGACGATGTGATGTCATTCCCGACAAAACTAGATCTCAAATTCGCTCCCAAGTCCACAAGGCTCGTTAGCTCAGCGGTAAGAGCGCCCATTCATTGTTGATAAGAGGTGGTCGGGGGTTCAAATCCCTCACGAGCTGGTCTTACTTTTATTCTTTTTTCCCTTTGTTTATTTTAGATTTTGCATTATTGAATTACGAATGAAATTAAAAACGAATTAAGAAATAGGTAGTAGTGTTTTATGCAATTAAAGCGCAAGGGCAAAAATTGGCAATTTTGCCCTTGCGATTTTTGCTTCTGTTCATAAATCATACAAGTAAGAAAACGCTGCTGGAGATTTTTACAAAAAAAAACAAACGAATTCAGATACCTACAATGTCACAACAACGTCGATGATGTGATGTCATTCCCGACAAAACTAGATCTTAAATTCGCTCCGAAGTCCCTGAGGCTCGTTAGCTCAGCGGTAAGAGCGCCCATTCATTGTTGATAAGAGGTGGTCGGGGGTTCAAATCCCTCACGAGCTGGTCTTGCTTTTATCCATGTTTTTTTTTCTATACGTTTATTTTTTATTGAATTAGAATTACCGTGTTTTTCTTCTACCACACCTCGCCCCTAACTTTTTGCTCTTAGTCATGGAGGAAATATACTCTATCTTACTGTTGTTTTGCTGAATGCGACATGATAATTATAAAAGAAAAAATTCTAAGAAATAGGCAGTAGTATTTTTGGCTAAACCCATGCGCAAAATAATAAAGATATTAAAAAAGAAACAAATTAAAATTGGCGCGTCGTCGTCGCCTGTCTGCCGCCCGTTGGCAAGGGAACAATCATTTTTGGCCGAAATCGTTACCAGCCCGCCCGTCGGACGCTCCCTTCCTAGTATTACCATAAAAAATTAAATCCCGAGCGAACGTAGTCCCAGGCAACGGTCCCTTCGTAGTCCCTTCATACTTTTTGTACACGAACCCTACTCTACCCTACTTCGTTATCCGCCCGTATGCTCGAGGCCGACTATGATCCTTTTTGACGCTCCCTATTCAAAGTATTTTCACAAGGGGCTGCCTGCTTTGCACCATGGTAGAATTCGTTATCTTTTGTGCCAGGGTTGGGTGAAAAATGGTTCGAGTTTAAATTGAGAATGGGATGTCGTAAAATTTTTGAACGAGCACTGTTTCTGTTCGGTATTGTTTTGTTTGCTGGGCTTGTTAGTTTAGGTCTTTCTGTAGGTTTCATTACGCCTATTAATTTTTGCTACGTAACAAATGAATAAGGACTTTTTGTAGGTATATTTCCAAATTGGACGTCCGTGCCATCGAGCAACGTAGGACGTAGGTAACCTCGTAAGAAGTTAATGTGGCAGCGTTGATGTCTTTTATATGGCATAATAATAATAGATTGCTTGAGTGATTTTTCCACGACGTCGTTATTTTTATTAAACAGCCATTTTATTACTTGGTCTATTTCCCTAAAACGTCTCTTTCCTAATTCGAAGACAACTGGCCATTTTCACAATGTTTCACAGAAAATCATTATTGATGTTTCATAATAAATTATGTTATGTTATGGTATGATGCTGTGGATAGTTTTAAATCTAAGCTTATGTAGGTGCTTTAGTAAATTTTTGTGTTTGTTATGGTTGCTTATTTTGTAGTTAGTTTGAATAACTAGTTATATTATTGCGTTAGTATTTTAGTTATATAGGTAAGTACGTGTGAAAAATTAAACTAAGTAGTTGTGAAATTTAACTAGTGACCGATAGTGAAACCTCAGAACTTGCTAGTAATAACGAACATCTCTAATTCGGCCGCCCGCAGAACTCGAAACCTGCCACAAGAGATAAGCAGAGATGGCAGGCCTTGAGGTAGGACTATAAATGAATAGGTACTTATGACAAAGACCCAACTCATGTGCAACAGTACCAAACACAGGGTGGAAGTGGCCGGGCAGATAATACTTGGGCCAAATAGCATCCTTCGAAAATAGGCAGGACTAAGAGGTCGAAAGACAAAACGCCTGAAAGAGCTTCTGGTTTATGAAAGAGCTGAGGATGAAGGGTGAAACCTTCCTCTTACTTTGAAGCGGAAACTAGTCGACATGTTCAAGGTTTTTTAGATAGAAAGTAGAGTAAAGACATGAAGCAGCCTCACTCAGGAGCGGCCTCATTGCTAAATTAGTGATAAAATTAATTGATTAGAAAATTGCAAAGGTTTTTCTTAACGGATAGAAATAAAAGGACATGCAACAAGTGCAACGCTTTTTCCCGACTGCCTCAGAAGGAGGGTTTTGTTTTTGATATCTTATTTAATGTGAAATTGTTTAAGCGGGGTTCCGTTACGGACACTCCGCCGTCGGAAACCTGCGGTGCAGCTGTTAGCGGATCGGTTGTCAGGTGGGTAGCAGGTTCGAATTCCGACAACAGGCGAGGCGATACCTTACTACTGATAAATAAATAGGTATACGTATCGTATTCATTTTTGTTAGGGGTAGTAGGTATGCTTTTTGCTTTACTGAGAGTAGACCGGGGCTAGTTTGGCTGGGAGAAGTTAATTCTAAAGGCATTGGAAAAGAGGCTGGTAAAAAATATATGTCAACAAAATACGTAGGAACCTCGCGATAGGAGTCTACTTTATACTGGTTTTTGGTACAGTTTCTAAGAATAACCAGTACAAGTAGATCCGTTCAATGGGCACCTCCATATGATGTGGATAGGTTAGGTAAGCATGACTATTTAATAATGATAAATTATTATTATAACAAAGCAAGACAACATTTCTAAACAAAGCAATATCAGTACAATCTATTCAATAAACGATAGATAATACAGCTTAAAAAAGGGAGCAGAGCACATGGCGATCTATCAAAACAACAAAGCCGATTGGTGAGGTGACGTTCCACCCCGGTGATATGTACGTCCTACTACCTAAATGCCTTATGTACACCGCTAGTTACTACTTCATGACTACTCCGAGCTCAGTGTGTACTGCAATGCAACGGAAAATATGCGTGTTTACCAAGCCGTTTCGGCAGAACGGTGTCGTGTATTGCGTCACTAAGAGGAAATTATTGATAGTGCGCCGAGGTCGACGTGACTAACATATTTGTGAACTATGTGCTCGATTTTGGGATATTTCGTTTTCTTATTACGATATCGCTGTGAGGTGTAGTGATTTTTGCAAAATAGAGTTCATTTTTTCTTATCCTGTTATTCCCTGTGGAGGCCAGACAAATGTCCGACGCCACGACTATAAGTACATCCGCTATAACCTTGTCACGTCGAGTAAGTATATTTTTTGTTTAATATTTTGACTAAAACTGCTACATAACGCTGATATTTCTTTTTAGTTAGATAGCCATAGTCAAAATAAAGTATTTGATGGTGAATAAATGCAATTTCTAGCAAAAAATGCTTCGAAAACAGGGCGTTCACAATAATATTATTGAACGTCACTGCGAGGTTCAGTCGGCAAGATGGCGGCGGGTGGGGAGCGGGCCGCCAGTTGGCCAGGTGCTGCCGCCGCGTCGAGTTCGGAGCTATAGCTAACTAATACGCAGTGTTGTACATTTAGAACGTTCACAATGGCTACCACGAAAGACACGTCTACTTTCTTTCTGGAGGCAGATGCAAAACAGTTTGACAGTGTATTGAAGTTATATCCACAAGCGATTAAGCTAAAAGCAGAGCAGAAAACAAAGAAACCAGAGGAGCTGATAAAATTGGACAACTGGTAAGTACGAACGCCTTTCAAAGGAGAAAATGCGGCCGTGGCGTGTCAATGAACTTGTATTGTGTGTGTATCCGTGCAAACTGATTTGATAGCTACCTCCCTCGCGGACTGCATCTCTAGTCCGCGGTCGGCTCATTAAAATCACTACGTCACGTGGGATCGATGTCAAATTGACACGGTCATTTTCCTGAAGCCAGTGTGAGGGAAAATATCGCCGCGCTTAGGCGTTATAAAATGGTGGCTGTCTAGTACCATGACTTGTTTTAAAGCATTTGCGTTCTTGTTTATGAGCGTTTGCTCGGTATTACTGTTGATTCTTTGATCAAACAACATGCTTGATAATGTTTGAGACTTATTTTAGTCCCCAGTACGCGTAATAATTAACTAGCACAATGCTTTGTTGAGTATGTCTCACATCCGTTCAAAATGGTGACTTGCCGTTTAGCTTCGCAATTATTTTTCGTTTTTTCGGTATAATTTCTGTAAAATAACCCTTGAGTCTTTAATATTTTTAGTACGTTGATATGATGAAGCTTTATTTGCACTTTTTTACGGGTTTTAGTAATTTATTTAATTAGCGTGAGTCATAACATCCCAGGCCTACTTTTACAAAGTGCATCAAGTTGATCACGTACGAATATGATTTTTGTTTATTTCTTCTATCAATGACATTTCATGTTTTTTAGAATAGGTACCCGCACAGCTGATTTTAGCGTTCTTTTGTTTTATTTTAATTATTTCTTCAAGGTCATTTGAAGATCTTTTAAGTCATGTTTAGTTAGGTTAGGTTAGGCATTCCTAATATTGATATAGCTATGCGAATACAACACTTCTCTGAAATACTAGAAATAACTTCGCAGATAGATAATGACTTATTTCTTAACATAACCTCATTAATATTTTTTCATATACCTACCTAGCTTTATATTATTAAGGTATTGAAACTACTTAGGCCCAAAAATTAAAATTTTTGTACAATTTATTTAGATAATAGGTATTTAAACAATTTCCGGTAAGAATGCTACTTAATTACAGATATTAGTTAGGGTCAGGTAGGGATCGGTGACTCAGGCGGGTACATTGACTCACGCTTATATTTCGTAATAGGACAGCAATATCTATCTGTATTCTTAACTAAATGGTAGCTCTTGACAACCAAACACATTCAAACCAATCATCCGTCCGCTCCATTGCGGTTTGATTGTGAAAAAAATGTGCGATTGGTTTTGCACCTCTAAAAATGCTTTTAAAGGTATCCTACATGTATTTTTATCGGTTACGATTGAAAGTTGTAGGGAAATGTAAATTTTATTATTGAAAGCGGTGTTCATATACTAGATAATTAGCTAGATTTGCTTGCTCTTAGAGAAGTGTGGTAATTTTTGCAGGCTAATTATTTCAAAATAGCGTCGGCGTCTACACTGACTCAAATTTAAGTGGTACACAGTGACTCTAACATTCAGTACTGGCTCATCTCTCTATTTTTACAAACATTAACAGACAGTTGTAGAATATTTCTTATGGCAATGGTAATGATATGAAGAGAATACTTTGACAAATATAATTGATTATAATGCATAGTTTCAATAAATATTATACTAGCACGACAGGGTTGCGAAGTCCATATAAACTGTTAGAGTCACTGTGTACTACAGGGGTTGAGTCAGTATAGACAAGTACACGTACACAATGACTCACAATTTTTTTTGTAGAAAAAAATGGCTGGTGGCCTAATTGTCGTGTTATTGCAAAAAATGATAATGCGAACCGAAAGAGTAATAATCAATACATCCTAGGTA